AGTCTTGACCTTTGTCCGGAGATCCCAAATCATTGAAAACATCGTAGTCATAGACTCTATCCCACTCCTTCCTCTCTCCTTTCCCATTCCCTCTCAAATTCATCAACTCTTCTTCCCTTATTTCCTTGAGCAATTCCGGCATTTCATTTGGTAGATACGCCTAATTTTTAGGAGTGAAAAAAGGAACCAATCAGATACATAATCAAAACATTCATCAACATATGAAACTCATAATACTGTATGGTGATTAATTACCTGGTTGGAGAAAAAGACACGATCGTAACCATAACGGTGAGAAGGATAGATCCAAGAGTTGCAGACAAAGTGGATGGATCCGGAGGCACCGGGAACGTCACGGAGAGTGAGAGACTTAAGAAAGAACTGGCTACGGTGATGGTTCTTGATCACGAACGCACTCGGCGTTCCCATTGACTCGTCCCACTCAAATGCAACCGCAAACGCAGTTTCTTCAGCTGTCACCGCCGACTTTATCTTGACCCAGTTTGCCAAGTGAGCTGCTTTTCCAAGTCTCCCTCTCCTCTCATTTCCTACGACACACACACGCAGCTAGCTTTTGTAGTGACTAAATGAAACCCTAACATAAACCCTAAAAATTGAGAAAATGTCGGGTTGGGTTTTAGAGAACCTGGGTCGGGCTGAACAGAACTGACAAGTTGGAGAGTGACACGACGACCGAGGAGCTCGTGGACACGGTCAAGAACAGAGGCCATGACGTCTTTGAAATCGAGCACGTTCTTCTTCATCACGACCACTTCTCCTTGAATCATCGTCATCTTACTGGCGGCTGATCCCTCCATTGTCTACGCTGTGTTGATGTATGTAGCATGTATAAACTCAGGTCTATGGTCAACACGAATATAACAAAACCGACTACCGAAAAATAAAACAATTACATTCTAAGAATAGCGGAATTAATGACATCTCATCACGTGACCTAATTGTTTTGTGACGTTTACATGCATACACGTATATACAATCATATTGACCTAATTATTTTCTGACGTTTACATGCATACACGTATACACAACATCTCCCGGGTATAATTAAGTGAAAAATAAAACTGAACTCAACATCAACACTTGCTATATAGTTGATGTTTTTTCAATTATCCGTAACTGCCAAAAATAAAAAATCACTATAGTTTGATCGTTAATTAGCCGTATTCACACGTAGTGCCAGTACTTACAAACATCAAAGGACGTAAGCCAAATAAATTTCGTCTAATAAACAAAATTTAGCAAAATGAAATCATATAGAACTAGGATACAAGCTACACATAAATTAAGCTCTGCTCGAAATCACAAACCTGAATTGGACCTTTGATCTTAAGCTTTCACAAACACCAGACCGATGGATTCGTTCGAAATATGAACTGCTGATGAGAATGAGAGAGCCACATTACCCCTTTTATAGTTTAGAATTCATTAATTGAAGTCATGGTCGTTCAATGAATTCAAAACCCACTTTAATAAATTTAAATGATGAGTAAGACTCTCAAAGATTTTTGAGCCTTATTAGATGGGTTTTTCGATGTCTTCATACTCAGACACCAAATTATTATACTCACATATGACTTTGTCGTTGTAACCCTTAATTTAATAATAATTATATATTGCATGGTGAGTCGAACATTGACGCTTTATAATAAGCTCAGACAGATTATTCTTTCGGCATCTTAGGAAATTAAAAGCAACGTTTCGTGCGTCAAAAATGTAATGTATTTGGCATTTGATTTGGCCTTTCCAACATAGCATCGGCTGTATTCATAATTTATAACAATTAACCTTTTTAAAGAGTTTCTAATGTGATTCACCCATGAATCGTGGATGGTGTAACTAAGAAAATCTATTCCTTATTATAGTTGATCCAAAACTCATTTTCTTGTGCATTTTATGTCACGGTACAGACCACGATCGAATCGAGAACGGCAGAAAAAGGTTGCGTCTTATTCCCCAAGAGTTTTAGTTTATATACAAACACATACATGATCTTGACCTAGTAATAGAAAAGGAAATACCATACTCGATATGTAAAACTTCCAGTTAAATATATCCCTCAATATCCTCCCTCAAGTTGGAGCATAGAGATTATATATGCCCAACTTGTCCAAAAACACGTCAAACTCCTTCTTGCCGAGTGCCTTGGTGAAGATGTCTGCAAGTTGGTGTAGAGTGGAGACATACCGAGTGACAATGGTCTTGTTACCGACGTGATGACGGAGAAAATGACAATCTACCTCGATATGTTTAGTTCGGTCATGGAAAACATCATTCGCAGCAATATGGAGTGCAGTTTGGCTATCACAGTGAAGCATCATAGGATCCGGATGAGAGACACCAAGGGAGCACAAAAGGCCTTTTAGCCAAAGTAGTTCACATGTTGCCGAGGACATAGCGCGATATTCTGCCTCAACTGAGGAGAGCGATATCGTGTGCTGCTTCTTCGAACGCCAAGAGATAGGATACTTCCCAAGCTGAATGATCCATCCTGAAAGGGATTTTCGAGACTTAGGACAACCTGCCCAACCATCCGTACAATCGGAGATCAGAATCTGCACGAAATAAGATTCCTTGGCCGGGATTCCGTTTCAAGTAACGGACAACACGCAAAGCAGCTTCCCAATGATCCACGCGTGGTTCTTGCATGAATTGCGATAAGATATGGACAGAATACGTGATATCCGACCGAGTAGCAAGAAGGTAAAGTAGTCGACCGACAAGACGACGATATGAGGCAGGATTATCCAGCAAAGGACTCGTCGAGAGCGCTAAACGATGATTCTGGTCCAACGGAAAAGAGGCTGGTTTAGCCCCAAGTAATCCCGTCTCAGAAAGAATGTCTAGAACATACTTTCTTTGGCAGAGAGAAATTCCCAAAGGACTGCGGGCAACTTCAAGTCCGAGAAAATACTTTAACGAACCCAAGTCTTTCATCCGAAAGCATGAACTCAAATAGGTCTTGAACGCATCCATATCCGACAAGGAGTTCCCGGTGATTAAAAGATCATCCACATATACTAGAACATGAAGACGGATGTGACCTTGACTGAAGATAAATAAAGAATGGTCTGACTGTTATTGATGAAAACCATAGTTCCGTAATGCCGAGCCAAGCTTCGCAAACCAACATCGGGGCGCTTGTCGAAGACCATACAGAGATTTTCGAAGACGACAAACCTGATTCGGCATTGTCGGAGAAAAACCGGGAGGAAGTTTCATGTAGACTTCATCATGGAGATCCCCATGGAGGAATGCATTATGAACATCCATTTGATGAACATCCCATTTGTGAGCGGCGGAAACAGCGAGAAATGTCCGAACAGTAGCCATCTTGGCGACCGGAGCGAATGTTTCGTCGTAATCGATTCCCTCAGTCTGGTTGTTTCCAAGAATAACAAGCCGAGCTTTATAGCGTTCGATCGTGCCATCGGAACGGTATTTAACACGGAAGACCCATTTACACCCGATGGCTTTCTTGTGGGCTGGCAACGGTTCTAATGTCCAGGTTTGGTTGGATTCAAGAGCTATGATTTCATCTTTCATAGCTTGGCGCCAATGGTCATATCGAACGGCCTCATTGTACGACCGAGGCTCGTGTTCCGCAGAGACAGCTGCAACAAATCTCCTATGTGTTGGGGAAATCCGATCATAAGAGACAAAGTTTGCAATCGGAAATTGAGTGCTTGGGGGTGGAGAGGAGGACGAGGATGAGGCATCAGACGAAACAGAGCTCAATACTTGAACAACATTAGTAACAAAATCTCGGAGGAGCAGACTCTTGACTTTGTTGCGTTGGCCTTGGCCAAGTTGTCCAGAAATCGATTGTGGGTCAGACAATGCTGGAGACGGAGAATCGACAGAAGAGGAGGACGGAACCTCATCTGCATGAGTTGAGGAAGAACCCTCCATGTCTCCCGAAGCGGATGAGGAAATGGCCAAATCTGAAACTGCAAGAGATGGATCCGATAACAAGGCGGGTTCAGGCGACAGAACAACAGGGAGCGCAGTCGACAAAGGCAAAGTGTCCTCTTCATCGATGATCCAAGATGAGACAGCCGAAGTCGGAATAGGAGATGGCGACGAGGCGGTTTCAGTGGGAGCAATAGGGAAAACATCTTCAATAAAAACAACATCTCGTGAGACATGGAATGTCTTTGTTTCCAAGTTGTAGACTCTCCAACCCTTTTGTCTGAAAGGATATCCAACAAATATGCAACGTGAACTACGAGATGCAAATTTATCACCGCCACGACATTGATTATGAACATAACAGAGGCTTCCGAAAATTTTGAGACGATCGTATATCGGAGGTGTTCCATGAATGACCTCATAGGGTGTTTTACCCGCGAGAACGGTTGATGGAGTGCGATTGATCAAATATGCCGCAGTAAGTACACTTTCGCCCCAGAAATCCACCGGTAGATGTGCTTGAAACAATAAGGCCCGTGCGACGTTGAGAATATGACGATGTTTTCGTTCCACGCGGCCGTTTTGTTGCGGAATACCGACACAAGAAGTTTCATGGATAATACCCTTCTCAGAAAAAAACGGTCGCAAACTAAGAAATTCTGAGCCGTTATCGGAACGTACCATTTTGACCAAGACATCAAATTGTCGTTCAACCATAGCCACAAAATTTCGAAGGTGAACTGAGGCCTCATATTTCCCATTCAGCAAATATATCCAAGTCCCTCGAGAGAAATCATCCACGATAGTCAGAAAATACGTAGCACCGAAAAATGAAGATTTACGATAAGGGCCCCACAAATCACAGCGAATCAACTCAAATAGGGCGGAAGATTTATTTGAACTCCGAGAGAAAGAATCTCTACTGTGCTTTGCCCGTAAGCATACATCACAAACTTTATTCCCAGAACAAATACTGCCAGTCAAACCAAATCCTAAAATCTTCGCTAGAGCTTTTGAAGATGGATGACCCAACCGCTTGTGCCATAAATCATAAGACTGCTCAGTCTCCACCTTAGTTGCTGCTACAGTCTCGGAACATCGGAAATAGTAGAGTCTCGCTTCTAGTTCACCCGCACCAATCGACATCCTGGTGGTGCGGTCTTGAATCACACATGACTTTTGATCAAACGTGATAAAACAACCATTCCCGTTCAGCAATTGAGAAATGGATATCAAGTTGCAATGCAACCCCGGAACGAAGAAGACATTCGACAATCGGAGATTGGGTGCAAGAAGAACAAAACCAGAGTGTGCCGAGATGACCTGACGTCCATCCGGCAAAATCACCGAACATGGTGACATAGAGGATACATTCGTCAAAATTGTTAAATCGCCTGTCATATGTTGGGAGCAACCCGAATCAAGAAGCCAAGGAACCATGGAAGGCTTACCGGAGAGAGTTTTAGTGGCTCCGACTTTAGTTGCATTTAGAATAGCGACCAAAGTCTGCCATTGATCGGTGGTCACAGCACTGAAAACCTGCTTATCATGGGTTACAGTAGAAGAAGAGACCGATGGCGATTGTGCCATCACTTGAGTAGCCAGAGTCATTGTCGGTGTTGTCGTCGAGTCAGGGTTCGATTCAGGGGTCGGGATCGGGGTCGGGGTCGAGATCAGTTCGATGTCAGCATCGAGGTTCATTGATCAGAAGTTTTCTTCGAGTTTTGGTGTGGTTCGGGCTCTGATACCATGTCACGGTACAGACCACGATCGAATCGAGAACGGCAGAAAAAGGTTGCGTCTTATTCCCCAAGAGTTTTAGTTTATATACAAACACATACATGATCTTGACCTAGTAATAGAAAAGGAAATACCATACTCGATATGTAAAACTTCCAGTTAAATATATCCCTCAATATTTTACATACAAAATGTACAACAAGAAGATAACTCGATAAAACGGAAGCAAAACGGTGAAATCCAAAAACACTTTTTGAAACAGAGTAGACAGCGGAAATACATTACGCGATACATGTCGCAAAACACACATGTTCGAATGTTAGTTATATAACCGTAGACACTATAAGAAAAGACATGCTTTGACATTCTCACATGCTCGGACAAGGGAGCATTGAGCGTGAAATGCCGGTTCGGTCGAACGAGTCATTTGAATTCGAACTACCAGGGGCTCCGAGAGACATGTCCGAAAATGGAAAGAAATAACGAAGTGTATGGCATGACAAATCACTTGGAGTTGGAGGGGCCGTTAGAGGTTCAACAATCATCATGGAAGTTCAGAATATGGCGTGGATTGTTTGGGATCATGATTGAGACAAAATAGGCAACATATCGTGCTTATTGCATTTTTCATGACTTGTGAATTTGTAGTTACCTTTTCTCGTATTTAGCCTCCTTTTTTCTTTATTT